ATTTATTTTTTTTATTATTCTATCCAAGTTTAAAGAACCGCTTCTTTGAGAATTAAAAGTTTGCTTGAATTTTACAATTCTTAAAAGTAATTTTTTAGGAATTTATTGCTTGTTTTATTTTCTTTAGTCAACGCTTATTAATCGGTATTTTTATTTATTTTTTAGTGATAAAAATGTCTGTAAATTTTAGTATTGATATTTTGTATAAAATATGAATTTTTATAAATTTTATATTATTGAAAATATGTAATTGGTAAATAGGAATGTACCTAGTAAGATTAATTGATGTTTAAATAGTTAAATATTTTTTGTTTTAAAACTGGATATGATTTTTAGAGAATTTCCGGGTTTATAAGGTCATTTTTGGTTAATTTTTCAGAAATTGTTGTTGTAATAAATTTTGTTAATTAAAAAAAAGTGACTTTTTATAAAAAATTAGATTTTTAATAATGTTTTTCAAAAATAAATAAGGTTTAAATTTAAAGAATTAGTATTGTTTATAAAATTTTTGAGTGAAAAACTAATTTTTGATCAATTTTAATTGTAATAAATTTTTTTTTTATAATTAAAAATGTTTAATTGATAAGAAAAAGTTGGCTTTTGATAAAAAATTGAATTTTTTGATATTTTTTTTATTAAAAAGCTTTAAATTTGAAGAATTAGTATTTTTTATAGAATTTTTAGGTGAAAAACTCCTTTTTAATCAATTATAATTATAATAAATTTTTTGTGTTAATTAAGAATGTTTAATTAATGAGAGAAAGTGACCTAAAGTTTGAATACTGTTTTTTTTAATTAACAAACTTCAACTTTGAAGAACTAGTTATTTTTATACAATTTTTTAGTAAAAAAATTATGTTTGAACTATTTTTGATCAATTATAATTATACTACATTCTTTTTTTAATAAAACAACTTCAATTTAAAAAAAAAAATTGTTTAAAAAATCATTTTGGATTTATTTTTGGCCAATAGTAACAATAATAAATTTTTTTTTTAATAAAATAACTAAAATTTTATTGAAAAAATTGTTTTAATTTATAAAAATCATTGATTTTTTAATAAAAAATTTTGTATTTTATTAAAAAAAGTGAATTTTTTTATTAAAAATTTGATTTTTAATGATATTTTTATAATTAACTATATCTTCTATTCCAAATTTTAGTTTAATTTTTGATCCAATTATTACTAAAATTAATTTTTTTCATAAAATAATTTTAAACTAGTAAAAAAAAATTTTCGTATTTATAAAAAACATTAATAATTTGATCAAGAGTATAAAATTGATCATCAAAAGTCACTTTTTGACCAAAAGTTCAATTATTAAACAAAATTTCAAGACATTTTTTTTAAAAATTCAATTTTTCATCAAAATTTCAAGCCATTTTTCTCGAAAACGAAATTTTTATTAAAATTTTAAGACACTTTTCTCAAAAATTCAATTATCAATTTATTATCAAGATATTTCTTTACAAAATGAAATTTTTTATCAAAATTTCAACAAATTTTTCAAATATTAATTTTGTTATCAAAATTTCAAGACATTTTTCTTCAAAAGTTCAATTTTTCCAAAATTTAAAGCCATTTTTCTCGAAAACGAAATTTTTATTAAAATTTCAAGATACATTCTCAAAAATTCAATTCATTATCAAAATTTCAAGACATTTCTCTCAAAAATTCAATTTTTTATTAAAATTTCAAGAAATTTTTCTCCAAAATTTCAAGACACATTTTTCTCCACAATTAAAAATTTTATCAAAATTTTAACACATTTCTTCCAAAAATAATTTTTATTTTATAAAAATAAAATCTCCATCATAAAATTCTTCCAACTAAAAAAACGCAACTTGCAACTAAACATCTTACCATAAAAACAAACTTGCAATAAAAAATTTCTAAAAATAACCAACCAACTGTTGATGAATCTTAATGAAAGCAGTCTTGTTAATTAATAAAAAAAAAAAAAAAAAAAAAGTAGTTTAAACAACCCGACCAAATAAAGAAGCTCAATAAATAAATAAATAAATAAATAAAGCACGTGAGTAATTTTTGGAAGGTCATAGTTCCATTGGCCAAAGCAATAAATATTTATAAAACAATATAAATTTATATTTATAAGGCAATGATCTGACCAATTTCCAGACAAATTTAAGATTAGACGAAGGAAATAGCTCAGTAGCATAATTAAGATTAATGAGGAGCTTAGAGCGTGGGCTTGCTTAATAATAATCACTATTTTTATTAAAATTTCGGTATAAAAACATTAATGCTAAATAGCTAGAGTTGTTTGGAGGTAAACGGGTAATTTTTATTGCTCTAGGATGTGAGAGTTAGGTCACGCGACCTTCGTGATTAATTCAAATCAATCAATCTAGTGAGCATCACCCTTCTGCTTTCTGTGTCGCGTGCAATTCTCAATTATAACAAACTGATAACTTTTCGGGTGATTAAATTATTGCAATTTGCGCATTGCTGACTTGGAAATTTTTTTTTAACTTTCGGTGATCTAAAGAGTGTCCCTTTATGGTCTTCTCGCATTATTTGCAACAATGTACGCCACTTTGTTCTCGATAACACTTAAGTGTAATAGACGAAAGATCGCGGTGACTCACCGCTTAATAATTAAATCGTTTAAAATGATATTTAATGTAAGGAGTGTTCTTATTTAAATAACTTTCTTGTGAGAGAAATTTAGAATACCTTAAATAGATAAATTTTCTTTTAATTAATTGCTGGATTCTTTGTGAACATACATTATTTATTTATTTATAGAAAAATATATATTTTTTTGTGTTAAAAAAATTTTTTATTAATTAATTTTGCATTATTAAATAATGAAGTTGGTTAAATTGCACTGTACTTTCTTGAATATTGACGTTTTTAAAGATATAAGCTCATCCTAGTAATACATTCATCAAGAGCTTTCATTTGAGTACCCACATGCATTTTTGATATATTTTTCATATATAAATATATATAAATATATAAAATAATATTATATGAAAAATTGATGTGGGTATTCAAATGAAAGATCTTGATGAGTGTAATCTCGAAATGCGGTTATATCTTTAAAAATGTCAATAATTCTCAAGACACAAGGTAATTTCTTAATTACTGACATTTTTAAAGATATATGCTCATTCTGAAGTTACACTCATAAAGAGCTTTCATTTAAATACCCACATGCATTTTCATATATTTCTCTTATATTTATATATATATATATATAAAATATATGAAAAATTGATGTAGGTACTCAATTGAAAGGTCTCGATGAGTGTAACATCAAGGTGAGCTTATATCTTCAAAAATGTCAATAGTTCTCAAAATACAAGGTAATTTCTTAATTACCGACATTGTTAAAGATACAAACTCATCCCGATGTTACACTCATCAATAGCTTTCATTTGAATACCCACATGAATTTTTGATATATTTTTCATATATACATATATATAATATATTAGTATATATAAATATATGAAGTATATAAAAAATTGATGTTGGTACTCAAATGAAAGCTCTCGATGAGTGTAACATCAGGATAAGCTTATATCTTTAAAAATGTCAATAGTTCTCAAAATACAAGGTAATTTCTTAATTACTGACATTTTTATAGATACAAGCTCATTCTGAAGTTACACTCATTAACAGCTTTCATTTGAGTACCCACATGCATTTTCATATATTTCTCTTATATTTATATATATAAATATATAAAATATATGAAAAATTGATGTGGGTACTCAAATGAAAGCTCTCGATGAGTATATCATCGGGGCGAGCTTATATCTTTAAAAATGTCAATAGTTCTCAAGATACAAGTACATTTCTTAATAATGTATCCCGGACACAAAATCTTTCTTCCTCTTAACAACATAAATTATAAATAAAATTTTCCATAATTCCTCACAAAATTTAAAATTATATTTAAATTCCCCCAAAAATTAATAAATCCCAACAATAAACCTAATTTATTATTATCAACTTGTAAACCAGAAGTGAGAAAATTCCCATGGCCCCGTTAGACTATCCTCCATCCAGGAAGTAAACTAAGTATCACCTATCTCCAACTTAACCCAATATTCAGCAATACAACCTGTTCGATTCTCTTTCCCAAATAATAAAACCTCCAAACCCAAAAAGAAAAGCGCTTGCGCGGGAAAACCCAAACAAATCATTAAACTCCCAAAATTACCTGGTCTGGGTGATGAACTCTGTATTCTAGTGAAGTCTTCGCCCTTGGCCTGGACGTCGGTCATTTTTAATTAAAAAAAATAAAATAAACCACAACCCACTTCTAACAATAATCTCCACTTAATTTTGCAAATCTCCAAACAATAACAACAATAATAATAATTATAACAAACTAGTTAAACCGGGAGCTCAGTTTCGTCTCGTTTGAAACCGATTCATCAACTGCCGGGTCTCAGAGACAACACAACTCACCAACACAACTCAACTCTGCATCCGAATGGATCCGAACATCTACGAAGCTAAGTGACGTCATATTTAACACATACGACAATTTTAAACGTCCAATTAGCGGGTTTGGGTAATAAAAATAAATAAAATTTATTTTTTGGCATTTTATATTTTATTTTATATTTTTATTTAAATATAACAGATTGTAATTAAAATATGTTATTTTATTTATTCCAGTACAATGTTTTTAATTTATTTTTTTTTAGTAGACAATTTTTTTTTACAATTAATTAATTTATTTTTTTAATAATTAATTAACATTGTTGTAAATTAAATAAAATAACGACGCTGAGGTTTTTTTTTTTTGTGAAATTAGATGAAAATATTTTTTTAAGACGAGGAACCAAATTTTTTATTTTGTGATGGTTAATGTTTATCATTATTATTATTATTATTATTATTATTATTATTATTATTATTATTATAAATTATTATAAATTATCATTATTAATAAATAATTTAATTTTGAAATATCTTCGTGATATCTCGGATGAAAGTTGAAGTTGTTAAATAAATTTACTCTGCTTCAGCAGCGGCCCGTTCACACAATCGACGAAGAAAAGCTGTAAAATATAATTATTTTATATTAGAAATCTGGAGGATTATTAAATAGGCGGGTTATGGTTATGATTAGATAAGCTGTGTGATAGAAGCCACAGCAGATAGATTTTTTTAAGAAATAGATAAACAAATAAAATTTATTTATTAATTTATTAATAAATAAAGAAAGTTGTTTTTTTTTTTTTATTTTTTTTTTAAGTTATTTGTAATCATCTGTTTGATAGAGTTGATTGTTCTCAGTTGAGCTGCAACTCTGAAACTTGGTCCTATTATTTAAACATATATAGGATGTAATAAGCTTGTTAATTAAAATTGAAGAGTATTTTTTTTTTAATTTAGGTGAAGTATTTATTGATAGTATATAAAATTGTTATGAGTTTATGACAATCTCAGATTTTTTTGGGGATTTTTGGAGTTTTTTATTTTAGAAAGTTTGTTATGTCAGATAAATATATATGATTTTTTGAGATTTATGTAAGGAGAAAATTTAGATATTATTGACACAAAAAAAAAGTTTTATTTAGAAATTTTTCTTGACGTAAGAATATTTATTATTATTGATAAATAGCAACCAGACAGTCACTACGTGACTGCCATGACTTGTGTACTGTAAATAAATAAAATTTTGCAATTAAATAATGACTTTTGTTAAATTGCACTGTACTTTCTTAAATATTGACGATTTTAAAGATATAAGCTCATCCTGGTGTTATACTCACTAGAAGCTTTCATTTGAGTACCCACATGCATTTTTGATATATTTAGATATATATATAAATATATAAAATATATGAAAAATTGATGTAGGTACTCAAATTAAAGGTTTCGATGAGTGTAATGTCAAGATGAGCTTATATCTTTAAAAATGTCAATATTTTATAAGATACAAGGTCATTTCTTAATTATGTAATACATTTTTTAAAGATATAAGCTCATCCTGATGTTATACTCATTAAAAGCTTTCATTTGAGTACCCACATGCATTTTTGATATATTTTTGATATATTTATATATATAAATATATAAAATATATGAAAAATTGATGTGGGTACTCAAATGAAAGGTTTCGATGAGTGTGATGTCAAGATGAGCTTATATCTTTAAAAATGTCAATATTTTATGAGATACAAGGTCATTTCTTAATTACATAATATATGTTTTTAAAATATAAGCTCATCCCGATGTTACACTCATTAAGAGCTTTCATTCGAGTACCCACATGCATTTTTGATATATTTTTCATATATACATATATATGATACATATAAATATATAAAATATATGAAAATTTGATGTAGGTACTCAAATTAAAGGTCTTGATGAGTGTAACATCGGGATGAGCTTATATCTTTAAAAATGTCAATAGGTCATAAGATACAAGGTAATTTCTTAATTACATAATATATATTTTTAAAATATAAGCTCATCCCGATGTTACACTCATTAAGAGCTTTTATTTGAGTACCCACATGCATTTCTCATATATACATATATATAACATATAAAAATATATGAAATATATAAAATATTAATGTGGGTACTTAAATGAAAGCTCTCGATGAGTATAATGCCAGGATGAGCTTATATCTTTAAAAATGTCAATAGGTCACAAGATACAAGGTCATTTCTTAATTACTGACATTTATAAAGATATAAGTTCATTCTGTTGTTACACTCATCAAGAGCTTTGATTTGAGTACCCACATGCATTTTTCATATATACATATATATGTTACATATAAATATATAAAATATATGAAAAATTGATGTGGGTATTCAAATGAAAGGTCTCGATGAGTGTAATGTCAGAATGAGCTTATATCTTTGAAAATGTCAATATTTCTCAAAATACAAGGTCATTTCTTAATTATGCATCTAAAGATATTTTAAAATGCAGCCTAAATAAGTATCATTATTAATTAACAAAATTCTATAAAAATTGAAACATTAAAAAATTATTGTATTAATTTTGAGTGTCAATATAGCTCAAAATTAATCTAAATTACTTGTTTTAAAAAAAATCATAAATTAATATTCTTTTGTCAAGAAATTAAAAAATAAAATAAGTATAAATACGAAGAGAGGTAACATTTAACGAAGAAACTTAAATCTAAAGAAAAGAAGAAATATTAGATGAAATTTTTAGTTAAGACAAAGAAACGTAAAACATTTTTAATGAAATGAAAATAAGAAAGGTTTTAATTAAGCAGATAAAATACAAGGAGGTAGGAAAGGGGTTACTCACGATGATATTTTTTTTTACATAGACTCCAATCTCCTACAGTAAGACCATCATTTTCTTGAGGAACGCTGTAAAAAATTAACAAAATTGGGGGTAACAAACGGGAGGTACTACTTTACTTTTCCTGAAGGGGGCTTACTTTTACAATAACGGATTCGTGCTAGGTCCAATTAATAATTACAATTCTATTTAATTACTGGTAAATTTCTTTTACATTAATAACGAACTACCTATCTAATTAATTAGTCGGATACTTACGTGCATAGGGAATAAATCCATCTTCGTCTTCTGGATCCATACATTCACCTAAAACTTCTTCTACTTGAGCATCTTCTAATTTCTCACCTAAAAAAATAAATAAAAATAATTATTTATTAAATTACAACAAAAAATATATATATATATATATATATATATATATATATATATATATATATATATATATATATATATATATATATATATATATATATATATATATATTAAATTCTTTTGTCAAGAAATTAAAAAATAAAATAAGTATAAATACGAAGAGAGGTAACATTTAACGAAGAAACTTAAATCTAAAGAAAAGAAGAAATATTAGATGAAATTTTTAGTTAAGACAAAGAAACGTAAAACATTTTTAATGAAATGAAAATAAGAAAGGTTTTAATTAAGCAGATAAAATACAAGGAGGTAGGAAAGGGGTTACTCACGATGATATTTTTTTTTACATAGACTCCAATCTCCTACAGTAAGACCATCATTTTCTTGAGGAACGCTGTAAAAAATTAACAAAATTGGGGGTAACAAACGGGAGGTACTACTTTACTTTTCCTGAAGGGGGCTTACTTTTACAATAACGGATTCGTGCTAGGTCCAATTAATAATTACAATTCTATTTAATTACTGGTAAATTTCTTTTACATTAATAACGAACTACCTATCTAATTAATTAGTCGGATACTTACGTGCATAGGGAATAAATCCATCTTCGTCTTCTGGATCCATACATTCACCTAAAACTTCTTCTACTTGAGCATCTTCTAATTTCTCACCTAAAAAAATAAATAAAAATAATTATTTATTAAATTACAACAAAAAAATTTTTTTTAATAAAAAAATTTTTTTTTTAATAAAATTTTTTTTTTTAATAAAAATTTTTTAATAAAAAAAAGTTTTTTTTAATAAAAAAAATTTTTTTTAATAAAAATATTTTTTCTTTAATAAAAAAATTTTTTTTTAATAAAAAAAAAATTGTAAAAAATTTTTAGATAATTTTTATAATTAATTATAAAGAAAAAAAAGACTTACCAACAGTCAAAAGCATGTTAGAAAGCTCAACTCCAAGCATGGTGCCATTTTCTTGCTTGTCGTACAATTTTAGACACTCGAGGAAATCCTCGTAACCTCCCTGGTCTTTGTCGGTTTTGGCTTGTTCGAAAATCGGTAAAAATTCTTCGACGGTAATTTTCTTCTCTCCTCGTTTGGTGGTTCCTCCAAGTCGCTCGATCGCTGCGTTTGTCGGGTTTAAATTTAGCGCTCGTAATACATTTCCTAGATCGACTGCGTCGATTACGTTGGTACCGTCTGCGTCGTAGATCGAGAAACAAAACTCGGCCCCTAAGAAATAAAAATTATTTTTTTATTTATTAATTAAACCTTTAATTTATTTAAAAAAATTTTTTTACTAAAAAAATATTCAGAAAAATGAATTATTTTGTTTAATTTAAGGTAAAAATAAAGAAAATTAATTTTTACATCAAATTAAAGTCTATTTTATTTGATAAAATTTTTTTTCATAAAAAATTTAAGACCCAAAAATTAATTTTAATAATTAGATCATTTAAAAATAAGAAATAGATTTTTTTTTTATCAAAAAAACTATTTATAAAAGTTACTTTTTAATTAAGACAAATTTTTTATATAAAAATTTCATAAATTTAAGATAAAAAATTAATTTTTACATCAAATTAAATTTTATTTTGTTTAATAAAAATTTTTTCGATAAAAAATATAATAGTCAAAAATTAATTTAAATAATTATATCACTTAAAAATAAGAATAAAATTTTTTTTTATCAAAGTTAATTTTTAATTAAATTTTATGTCTATTTTCATCAAAACAAATTTTTTTTCTCTTATTATTTTTTTTTTAAATATGTATTTAGAAGAAACTTAATCCGAAGATCAGAAAGCTATATCAGGAAATTTTTATTCTATACAACAGATACCAAAATATATCAGATCTATTTTAGTAATTGACTCCCACCGTTTATTTTGTATTTAAACGTCTACTGGGTCATATTACCCCTACCCGAGCAATCCTTGCCATATAAGAACACACCACAAATACTATTTTTGACACCAACCGCAACTCACTTTTGGAATTTCTCTCTTACGCAATATCCTTACAAGCTTTCCAGTCTAAACAATATTTTTTTTCTAAATAGCTACATAAATTTCTTCAATTTTTTAATTTTCCAAAAATTCACATAAAAACTTTTAGACAAAATTTATAATATATAATTTTTATAAAAAAAAAAAATCTTTTTTTTTTCTATTAAAAAATTTGTAAAAAAAAAAAAGTAAATCTATTTTGCTTAATAAATTAAAAATTGAAATAAATCCAAATTTTAACAAAAAAAAAAAAAAAAAAACATTTTCTTCAACATTTAAATATAAAATTCTTCACAAATCACTTCTTAAAATTTACTTGTAAAAAAAAAAAGTAAATTTAATAAATTAAAGATTGAAAAAAATCCAAATTTTAACTGAAAAAAAAAAAAAATATTTTAATAAAAAGTGCTTCACAAAAATCACTTCTTAACAATTTACTTGTAAAAAAAAAAAGTAGATTTAATAATTTAAATTTAATAAATTTAAGATTGAAGAAAAAATCCAAATTTTTTGAGAGAAAAACAAAATTATTTTTTTAATTTAAAATGCTTCACAAATCACTTCTTAACAATTTAATAATTTTTACTAAAAAAAAAAAAACTTTTTTTCTATTTAGAAAAAATTGCACTTATAATTTTACAAAATTTACATTTAAAAAAAAAAAAGTAAATCTAGTTTTTTTTTAAATTTAGTAAATTAAAAATAGAAAAAAATCCAAATTTTAAGGAGAAAAAAAAACTATTTTCTTCAATTTTTTACTTAAAAATGCTTCACAAATCACTTGTTAAAATTGGATTGAAAAAAAAAAGTTAATTAAACCGTTTAAAAAAATAATTTCTTCACTGATAACGCTTTTTGATGTAAGTGTAATCCACAATTTACTCACTTTCGACTTCTCGGGGGTTAAGGCTCGACTGAAAATGAAAAAAAACAAAAAAATTAAATAAAAATAAAACTAAGAAATTGAAGAATTAAAAAACACTTACCATTGCTGTAAGAAATGTGTCGGCTTCTGGACGTTAACTGAACGAAGTAAGAACCAGAAATGCGAGGCTCCGGCACCAGGGACATTAATTTTAACTTGACAGAGGGCGTCCGCGGCAGAAGACGACACCCGAGATGAGAACCGGGCCGTGGGAGGGAGAACCGAGAACAAGAAGGAACATTGCGTTCCAAAAACAGCCCGAGGACCTTCGCAAGAAGACAACCCACCTTACGATAAATGGTTTGGGTTTTATTTTAGTGTCAGGGTTGCCCGGACCAAGTCAAACTTTCATCAGCCAGGAGAAAATTTTATTTATTATTATTTATCCGGATGAAAAATTTTGAAATGACTATTTAACGTCGACTCTATTATATCTGAGACTTCCGGAGTTGAAACTAAGAAATCTATTTAAGATCCCGACCGTATTTCTATCCCTGATTCAGCAATTTACTATTTTTAGGCTTGGTTAAATCATGAAGACGATGCACGACGATGCCAAGGCTTTTAGTCGTTTGTTAGTCGTTAAATACTAAATAACATTTTTTTCAAGAGAACATATTGTTATTTTTACATTCTGTACATTCTGTACTACTGGTGTAATGTAAAATATAAACGAGCTTGAGGTTATAATTCTAAGCTGCTTACTATTTAGGGATAAATTTAGTGAAAAAGGATCACTATTTTTGTAATTGCGGTTATTCTAGGTGGATTTTATAAGCTTTTTCGGGCTAACACGGCCAATGACCGACTGATGTTGCGACACAGGCGCTTTGATTGATCATTGATCCTAATTGCATCCGTTGAACTTGTTTTTAAGGCCGGAGAATTTGATTTTTGCGTTTTAGGAGATATTGTTTTGATAAATTGAGGATTTAAACGAGTTTTAAATTCACGGAAAAAAATTAACTGTAATAAATAACAGTCGATTTATAATAAGTAATGATCAACTGCTAAAAATTATCATTTCAAACAGTAAAATCGTGATTTTACTATTCACTTTATAATATTTATAATATTTACTTTATACAATTTACTCTTTACACGGAAGAAAATACTATTTCAAACAGTAATATTCGCTGTGTAAATGACTAAAATGTTTAAGTATAATAATTACACTGTAAAAAGAAACCGGTGTAAGTCCGGTGTTAAAATTACCGGTGTTAAATTTAACACCGATGTAACACCGTTAACGGTGTAAATATTCTTTTTCGGTGTTAAAACGATGTTATAAATTTTCTGGCGGTGTAAATTTATTTTAATTAACCCAATATTTATAATCGAACCGTACATTTTTAATAATTGGAAATAAATAATAAAAAAAATAATAAAAGAGGAAGATATTGATATTTAAAATTTTTTTACTAATATTTATTTACTACAAATGGAATGAATTGAATAAAAATGACAATATTTTAAAACTCGGAAAAGGAAAATTTGAGAAGCTCGGAAATTTATTTGACAATATTCCATCTAATGAAGCAAACTCTGATGAAACTTTGACGCTGAGCAATGTACACGGAAAAAAAAAACTGAAGGAATTTTTACTATTTCACGATCGTAATTTTTATTAAATAAAATAGTAGCGGTGGACTATACTTCTTATTTTGTAATTTTTACAATCTACTATTGTAAATTTGATCCAACAAACAACACTAGCAAAAGACTTAAAAAGTCGAATATTATAGAGCAAATTATACAATATGTGTTTGTGAACTTTACAATTCAACTATTGTAAAAATTCACAGTCGGTTTTTTTAAAATAAATTTTAGGGAGAGAGAGAGATAGGAGGTTAGGCTAATTGATACTGTATATATTTAATAACTTGTTGTATTTATTATATTAAGTTAATTTATGTTTTATTTGATTTCATTCTAATTGTAAAATAAACATTAATTTGTTCAATTTTAATTAATATCTAATATTATTTAGTGTTTCATAAATTCTTTACTGATAATACACTGATACGGAGTTACTGTACACCGCTGTAACACCGATTTAACACCGAATTTTTAACACCGCCGAGAACCATTTTAACACCGGTGTTGCACAGCGGTGTTAAAATGAGTCCATTTTAACACCGCTTTTTTTACAGTGTAAGAATTCAGACTTTGATATTTATTATTTTGTACACGGAGAGAAATTTATAGGAATCTTTCCAACAATTATGGGAATGGATCCTATAATAAAATTATCATTATACACAGAAAAAAAAGTCATCTTGAGTCAAGTAATATTTACTTGATCCAAGTATATTCAACTGAAGATAAAATATTTTCGTGAGTTAAGTAAATTTTTTTCTTGTTTTGGTCAATCTTGGTTTAAGCAAATATTCCCTAGTTCCAACATGCTTACCAACTTTTAAGTGAAGAAATAAAACCTCTTAATCCAAGTAAATCATTCTCTTGGTTTTTGAACTTGCTTGAAGTACACACGGGCGCATCGAGGCCCGAGTAGGACAGCAGCCGCGCGGAAACCCATTTTCAACATTAAATAAAAATTATTGTTTATGGAGCTAGAGTTCCGGGAGTCGAGACTTTTTTTCAGAAATTTCCTCCTCTTTAAGGATCTTTTTTCTGATTGTCGATATCACTTATAGTTATTGAGTTATTAACGCAACAAATTATTAACCGTGTACTTTGTATGAGTCGAGCAAATACTTGTACAATTATTTTCGTCACTACACACTCAACTGTAAATCAGTAATATAATGAGAAATCAGCAAGTTAAAAATTAATTAAAAATGTCTAATTAAATGAACACAAAAAATAAAAATCATGCATAAGGTGATTTTTTTTTTATTTAATTCTTTATTAAAAAAATCTCGGTTTAATTCCAAAAAATCACGTCGCCAACGTTGGCGCTACTTTCCAAACCAAAAGAAAGATTTACTTGGGATAAGTATATGACAGTTATTAGTTCAAGAATAAACAAGAACTTGAAACAAGAAGTAAATTTTGATGAAAATGATATCTGACATATTTTTAGGGTTAAGAAAGCAATGGAGATGAGTTTATTTATATAATTTATATTGGGGTATCTTCTAATAAACTAAAATTATTAGATCCGAGTTGGATTTTGATAGTTTTTTTTTTCATTATTAAATTCATCAAAAATTTATGTATATATTCAAAATTACTCAATTATAACGAGCGAAGATAAAGGTATTAAAATTACGATAACTCAAATAGCGACAGTAG